CACACACACACACACACACACACACACACACACACAGAGAAAGAGAGAGAGAGAGACATACCTGTATGCGTGTGTAACGTAACAAGGCGAAACGTATCAGCGATAATTAAATATTCCTCTGATACGACGATCGACTTTTTGAAGTAATTAAAGTGGTACAATGAACACCGCGTGGTAATAGATTGCAATCCGCGGCTCAAAGCTGCGAAAGCCGCGCAACGCGACAAGGCCGTGCGCATTAATGCCGAATAAATCCTTCCCGTTCGAAGCTTGATTTGCATCTGTCGATGCGCGTTTATTCGCGTTCGGGAGACCCAGCCCTGTTCCTTTGCCGGGCGGTCCCGATGAGGAGGACCGCACAGACGAGGACAATAAAACCATGAGCCCCCGTTCTCTCGTTCGATCGCGCCCCTATTATACTCGGTTGCGCATTTGCCGAAAGCCACAGATGGAATCGAGAGAAAGAAAGAGGGAAAGAGAGAGAGAGAGAGAGAGTGAGAGAGAGAAGGAGGGGGAGGGAGAGAGAGCATGGAAACGATTTAATTAAAACCGTTCTTTTACCGCGGTGGCAGCGACGGCCACGGCGAGAGCGGCAGAGTGGCGTCGATCGGGTTTCCTTTTGCCATAACGGAAAAGTGCTGAGTAAGAGGGAGAAGATAGCCCGAGCGCAGGAGGCAATTAGCGTTCGTTCGATCCCTTTGTGCGTCTGACAGTATCGCTGTTTCACTGGGTGCGCAGGTAATTCGCGTATCGGCGAAGAAACCCGCGGCGGCGTGCGTGTCGAGTTTTCTCTCCCTCTTTCCCTTCTTCCCTTCTCTCTCTCTCTCTCTCTCTCTCTCTCTCTCTCTCTCTCTCTCTCTCGCTTCCTCTCTCTTTCTTTCTCTTTTGAGATTAGAAAAAATGTATGTATCGTATAAAGATCTTTGTTGGATAAAAGTAGAACGCAAATACTTTACAACTTTACATTTATGATATCGAATACATGCAGGCTATAAACTTTACATCGTAAATTTAAGCTCAAGACATATTTTATTCTAATCGTGACATTAGGAGGGGAGGAGAGTAGGTCCTGCAGAAAACTTTGTTATTCCATTATGTCTAATGGAGATCCACAAAAGATCTTTTCGATATTTCGCTGTGTGTAAATTGTTGCAACAAGATTTCTTTAGATATTACACTGAGAGAAAAATTATATTAAAATCAACAAATATTCCTTTGATGGGTGCCATTAACATATTTATTTAAATCTACATTCTCTTTATTTAAATCAAATATTGTTTACCTGATTTAAATAAACAATATTTGGTTCAAATAAAGAGAATTTAATTAAATATGTTAATGGCACCCATCAAAGAAATATTTGTTGATTTTCATATAATTTTTCTCTCAGTGTAGAACGATGAATACTATTATATTAAGAATTTCAAAAATAAATATTTTATGCATTTATTGCGGAATTTAAGTCTAGGTATGAAAGTTATTAGTGATTTCTTTAACTTATATTACGTAAGTATATACTTAGCAGCACTATTTAAATTAGATAGATTTATCTATTTTTGTTGCTTTATTTTTTTTGTAATATTATGTACTTATTGTTCTCTCTCTCTCTCTCTCTCTCTCTCTCTCTCTCTCTCTCTCCGACACACACACACACATTCTCTTTCAGCGCGCACAGAAAGGCGATATCATTTCTATACTTTGCCCATGGATCAATCCTTCGAGAATTATGCAGCGATAAAGTTTCCCCGAGTGCGCCTCTAGATCACCGTAATCCTTCGTACCGGGTGTTTGGAAATTGCCGTTACAGAACCCTCGAGTCCGGCGGCAACGCGAACACGCCCGTGAAATCCCTTCGCCGATAATTCGCGAGCAAACTTGCGTGATACGGCTCGCGGTTAAAAAAAAAAATAAAAAAATATCAGTTCAACAATTTCGCCATTTGTTTGCCCGGGGAAAAAAACAGAAAAAAGAACACTCGGTTCCCCTCCCCCAAGAGTATGTGATCTGTATTTGTGTGAACTACCTACTACGTCAAAACAAAACACAGAAATAGTCATGGATTAACAAGGCGTGGCGACGTTAATTCGATAACTCCGACCCGCGAGAGAGCGGAGTATTATACAAAAAATCTCTCTCTGCAAAAAAAAAAAAAACGAAAAAAAAAAAAATTCAAAGCGACGTGGAAAAAAAGAAAAAATCGCGGCAGCCCTGCCGCGGGGTTTTGGGTACAGAGTGAGAAACCGCGTTATCCTCCCCATTGCGGAGAACCCTTCGCTTCTGTCGGTCCTTTGAAGAGTGACGCGATACGTTTAACTGCCGTAAGTGTAACGACAGGCCTAATGAGGAGGATACAATTGTGCATTCCGTTGTGCGACGAGTGCATAAATCTCGACACGGTGCGAATGGTTTAACGGGGGAGGTATCGAGAGAGAGAGGGTGGGTGACTGGGGTCGTTGTCGGAGAGAGCGGGATGGTTGCCGTAAACCCCTTATCTGCGGTGGACCCCAGGAAAGGGCACAAACTCCGGATTATCCTGCGAGCATTATACACACACAGATATACACGTATCTCCGCGCGAACACGCCTCTCTATTTTCCTTTCTTCTCGCTCATTCACCTCTCCGTCCTCCCTCTCTCTCTCTTTCTCATTCACTCTCTTTCAGGCGGCTATATTCCCAGTCGTTCGGAATTTTCATCACGAACGTCGTTTCCGCTGTCCGCGTCGCTTTGCACTAATTTCAGCGTAATTGCGAGGCGCGGACGGGGCGGTGATTTCGCCGTTCGGCCGTTTGTTTCGATCCTAGTTGAACGCCCGCGAGAGGAAACTCTACGAGGATCGCTCCGCTGTGCCTCCTCTCGTAGACGTTCGATAGACATGTCGAAGCGAGCGAACGACGAGCAGGAAGAATTGACGGCGTCGACGACTAGCGATGATTAAGATAAACTCGAGTATTATGGCCATAACGAAAAGATGGCCATAGGTTGTAATTTCTCTAATAATTGCAAAACATTGCGTTGGTATAATCAGTCACAAAGATATTTATTGTAATGTATGTGCGTGCATTTTTCGAAATAGGAAGATTATGAATAATTATACTATATTTTCATTTTTGACTACCTGTAAAATTTCTCATTTGCCCACTAAAACTTGCTGTAACGTCGAATAAATTACAGTTAAGCTATCGCAATCAACGTTAAATACATAAAGTAGGTATGTAAATTTTAATATAACATGCATTTTTATTTTCATTTTCACTATTTGTTTATAAGTACTATTATAATCGTCTTTCACTCACATTTTGGGTAAGATGGCCCACTATCATTCTAACATTTATAAAACGAAAGTCGTTATATTTAAAAAATTATTTTCAATATTATAGTAATTAAATCTTATGTACAATATGTTTTGATCAAAAATTGGATTTAGAATTTAAGTTTTGCAGAGATTTTATTAGATTTCTATTTTATATGTGTATTATATTTTTCACAAATAATATGTATTAAATATCCTATATTAAAGTGAATATGTCAAATTATGTTTTCTTCATTATTTTATAAAATAATAGATACAGAATCTTGAACATAAAATATTTATGGGTAATTTATTCTTATGGCTATCTTGCCTTGAATATTTAGATACGATGGCCAATGTTCATGTTTTGATATTTTTGTAATAAATAATTTCACTGAAGTATTTTCCTCTTAACTCCGATGGTATACTGTAGGCTTCAGTGAAGTAATGTGTTAAACGCTATTAAGAAATAACAATAAGAAATATATTTTTTTTCCATTTTAAAAAAGTATGACCATATTTATCCGGGTTCATCCTATCACAGCTTTGGAAATTGAATTTCATTAGTAGAAGCAGTGACATTTGGTCTCTTTCTTCTTCTTTGTCTGTCTCTCTCTTTTTAAATTACAATTAATGATTAAAATAGACCGAGAGATAGATTAAAATCTCTTTGATATTCGATCACAAATGGAGAAAGGACATATGAGAACCTATGTTACGAATCTTGCAGTATAATAAAAAAATTAATCAGTTTAAATTATCGTTGATTAATGAAGAGGTGATTGTATATAGGGAACGAAAAGATGGATCGGGTCAACCAATTCCTGGTGAAATACGAACAACTCGGAAGTTCCGACTAAAATTCTATTTAAGTTAAGCAGAAATCTTGGTAATTCAGACTAAATTCTGACAACTTCAACCGGAATTCTTCATATTTCACCAGAAACTAGTTAATCTATAACCAAACTTTTTTCCGTGCATTTATTTAAATAATCCAAACCTATTTAAGCCCTCCTCTCCATTTTCACTATTGCATATCGTGAAAAAGATTCGCATTAAAAGAAAACAAATGGCTGATCTAATTAAAATTATAATTAATTTGGGCCTCAAACATACTTTTTGCTTGTTCTATCACGAAAATGGTAATAATAACATACATATAAGATTATTATCACTAACATTACAGTAAAATTGAATAGAAAGATCGTTTTCTGGCTATAATTTATAGTTATTATTTCTCTATGTAATTATAGTTACAAATATCAGAAATTTTCTTCTCAGTGTGTGTGTAATCAAAATGTCTGAATTGTTTGAATAAAATATAATTACTTCTTTATTCAATGATAATTTAAACTAATTATTTTTTATCCTATTATACTGAGAGAAAAGATACCCAAAAAATACAACATACTTATTTTATGGACACTAATAACATATTTGCTTATAAATCTAAATTTTTTTATTTAAATAGAATAAAAAATTGTACTTTTATGAAAAACTAAAGTTTCAAGGAAATGTACACTTTCTTAATTGAAAAATGTTCTATATTAGTATAAAAATATTATAAATATATTACTATAGCACACC